TATAATTTTTACTCATTTTTCACTATTTAAATTTTTCGTGTAAATTAAATGTCAAAGTATTCTCAAAAGAATATTATTTTTTAGTATGTTGATATAAAGATTAAAAGAAAAATAATAACACGATCAAATAATTTTATAGAGTTATAAAATATTAGACATAAATAAATGGAGGGAATAATAGAGAGAAATTCTATGAAAAGATCCTAACTCCACACCTAAAGCACCTATTTCTAGATATGGCCACGGATCCAAAACTGCCAGTTCCGATTTAAAAACTAATGATTCCAGTTCTTCCTAAAGGCAGAACCTAAACTAGCCTTTATAGGAATGGTTATAGTTAGAGTTGCGATACTTGAACCTCTAGTTCTGGTTCGGTTTCGGTTCTAATTTTATTCCGGTTTCTTCCGATTACGGTTCCGATTCTTTCAATTATGTTTAAACACTTTTTTTTATGAAATTGATTCTAAGAAAATATGACAATGAATGTAGAAAAGAAAGAACCTTATCATATTATCATGTGCAAGGAAAAAAAAGAATGTAAATTTTATTTTAAAAAAATGCCTCATTTTTTATTAGATTAGATTGATCTTAAACTTGGATCAGTTATGAGGTCTATGCTTACCAATGGGATGGAACAATGACTTGTTGGATTAGGATTAAGGCTACTAGTGTTAGGTGCTAATTATTAATATTAAACTCTGAACTGGCGAAATAGATTTAGATATCAAGTACTTTTTAAGATGGTTTGAAATAGTTCTAAACCATTGGTTCCAATTTCAATTCAAGTTTTTGGTAAACCTGAACCTGAATCTTTGGTTTTGGTTATGGTTCCAATTCTGGTTTCCAAAATCCAGTTCTAGATTCAATTCAACAAATTGCTAGTCCGATTCTAATTTAAACTTGAACTGTGGCTACCCTACCTTTTTCTAGTCTACAAAGGCCTGAGGAAGTTTCCTTTTGTTTGGGTGGATTAGTTAGTACCAAATTGGAATCTTTTTAATTTATCCCAAGAACAAAAAGATTAGGAAGAAAGACTTCGCATTATTCTTCTTCTCATCAGCCTCAGTTACTCCATTCGCGTGGCATGATCAATAACAGTTGCAGCACCACTCAATCTATCGATGTTCTGCCTTTTTTCCAACAACATTCTGCTGGCAGTATGCATGATTATGAAATGCCTTTTACGATGGATTATTTTCTGGCAAATGAAAATTATGGTGATGATGCTGATGCTGATGATGATGAGGGTGTTTGACACCGCAACTCCAATGATCATGTGGCTAAACCTTTACTTGGATTGGAGCCCGTCTATACCAATACGCCCGACCCTTATTGTGATTTTATAAGAAATAACGTTAATTCAGTAGTAGGTAATCAACCTAAAGTTATTGCCCATTCAAATCAGGCTTTTGGGATTCAACCAGAGATCAAAGTATTCAACCAAAGAAGGTCACATGATTTTGTTCTTTACTCGATTTATTAAAGTAGGACTTCAGTTAAGGTAAAACTTGGCATATTATCTATTTCATAGAAACACGAGACTCAATAGGAGAAATGTCATCATAACAAGTCTTCATTTATTTTTTGGTTTTCTTTCGAGAAAGGGAAACAAGAACCTAAAATTGACTACATTTAGGATCCAAAAGTTGTTCAAGAGGCTCACAATTAAAAGATGAAACTTCAAGAGAAGTTGGATTTTTTTTCTTTCAAAAAAAAATAAAAATCTGCCTACTGATAAAATAAACTATAATATAGTAACAGCATTAAGTGCTTCCTTACGGAACCCACCAAATTTGGTAATGCTCCACTTGTATCATTTGCTCTAATAAGCAACTGATATTCACATGGCCGTGAACAAAAAACAATAGCAAACCACCTGTAGTGATTAACATCCTACAAATGTTAATTATAATGTATTTTGACTCCTAAGCTGGTCATGACAAGTCTTCCACAATATTACACAATATAACAATCTGAAATTATTCCCGCAATATTACATGTTATTCCACAATATTACTTGTGAGGTGCAGTTAGTATGGATCATATCCATACAATCGGATATAGGGCAACTCTTACAATGTTTTTTCAGTTCAAGAAAAAACATTGAAGCAAAGGAATAAATAATCAATATGATTTACCTTACTAAACAGGAAAAAAAAAAGGGGTACCAAGTGAGAGGAAGAAAAAAAAATAGAAGCAATGTTGAGGAGTAAATGACAAAATTAGGACGAAGTAGAAAGATGGTAGTTAGAAGAAGAAAATATGTGAAGAGTATAGAGCAGAAGGATTAAAGTCATTAAATGGAGAGAGTAAAGAGGAGAAATAAAAAATCATTTGATTGTAGTTTAATTGGAGTTAACAAATAAAGGTAGATTTGACAAATAAGATAAAATAGTTGGAGTAAATCCGCTAATTACGTGTAACAATTTTCAGAAAATTAAGATTTTGTTTATTAACAACCAAAATCTCTGGAAAGATTCAGTTCAGAACCAAAGTTCAAACAAATATTCAAAAAGAGTATAAAAAGTTCATTGCGTTTCAATTGATTTTAAAAAATTGTGCCAAAAATTAATGATGAGATAACGTAACAAAGTGCTAAAGTGGATAATTTAGAGGGCAAAATACAAAATGGTGGTACGGTAACAAAGGCTCGTCGCAATCAACCCTTGTCTGATGGATGCCTAGCGAGGATGGATTACAAATGCTATTAACTTGAGAGAGATCAAATTTAGGAAACCCAACCAAACTTCAGCCAAATGCTTTGGTTTTAGCTTTGAAAAGAGTCCAATGAGAACCAAAACTTTTTGTGGAATACAAAAATCGTAATGATGCAACAAAGCCAACGTTCCAAAAATTGTGGATAAAAAGTTTTGAAGATTACGAATAAATATACCAAAACTCACGTCTGAAATCTTCAATTACCACGCAGTCGTGGCATGGTCTTCCATAGATCAAATAAGTTAGGATTCAAGAGCCTCAATCTTAACTGTCCTAATCGCTTTCAGTTACCTTACCGCCCCACTACCAGTATTGTGGGATGAGATAATATAGTTCCAAAGTTGTTTACAGCGTTGTTGGATGTTGTGAACTTTTGAAACCTACTACTATATAAGAATCTAGGCTTGCGATTTACTTAGCAATTTGGATTAACCATTTCAACTTGTGATTTCGTTCAAAGCAACCCGTAGACTCGGAGCATTATCATTGGTATCAAGGCAAAAGGTCTTTATGCAAATGAGGTTAGGGTCAAGTGGTGTTATGGTTCTGACTACGCAAGAGAGTATAAAGAATTAAATACTATGTGTGGGATTAAATGTTACATTCGATGAGGCCTACCTCTAAAACCTGTGGAACTAATTGCAGAGTCCTTAAATGAGGTTGGATATATGTGAGATTCCAAAGGAAATGAATGATACAGGAATCTAGCTCCGATTATTTAATAAATTGAGTTAATCATTTTAAACTCATGGCTTCGCTCAAAAGTTATTTATGCGAGCCTGTGGGCTCGGGGCATTATCTTGTACACTCGAAATATTGTATCAATATATTCCCAAATCTAAATGAGGTGTTGTTTGATAAAACTGAATCTATATTCTGACATCTGAATATTGAAATAATTGATCCGTTGAATTTTAAGTGCCAAAAAAATATATGAATGGTTGAATACGAATATTGTACCTATCTATAATGTTTGATAAATATCTAAAACTAAATGATTAATGAGCTAAATTGTACAATTTTTCCAATCTATCTTTTCATAAAAAAAAAAAAAATAGAACCTATGATTTAATTAGCTTGAAATTGTCAAGTATGAAAAAGACAATAATTTTTTTTTAAATCAAATGAACATAAAAGATGAAATGTATTATGGAAAACATTAAAAAAATAATTACTATCCAATAATTCATCTAACATCAAATTTGACCCCAAAAAAAAGTCAAAAATGATTGTTTGTAATTACCCAAAAAAAAAAAGAGTTCACATCTTTAAACTTTCTTGAAGTTTGAGAAAACTGGATTTTAACGCTTGATTCTTATCTCTTAATAAATTTTTTAGAGTAAATTTTATATATACGGTCAAAATATAATATACGCTATCATGGTTGGATAGATGGCACATGAGTAAATTTTGAATTTCAAATTTAATTTTACACGTGTATCATATATCTGATGGTAATAGTGTACACACTGACAATTTATATAAGATTAATCTAAATTTTTATTGATAATTTATACAGACTAGTGCTCAATGCCCATCCAATTTGTGCGCAATCAAAAAATACATAATATTTATGATCATATTTATTAAATAAAAGTTTTATTACTGAAGCAAACTTTAATCTTTTAAATACTTTTTATAAAATAATTTTATATTAGTAGTTTTGTAATATTTAGGGTTAGTTATGTTGAAAATATATACTTATAAATGGTAAAAATAGTTATGAGTAGTTATAGGCAGTTAAAGTAAAAGTAATTTTTTATAAGGACAAAAAAGAAAGTTCATAAAGTATTAACCCCAATATTAACCCCAAATCCCTTCCTCGGGCATTATGTGTGTATATATATATAGTAAGTATAGATGGTAAAAATGATATTTATATATCTTGTCAAGATGAATATATATACTTCGAGTGGCAACACCTGAAGTGATTAATTAACATCCAGCTGTAGTAAATCCGCTGATTAAAATTAAGTAAATTGCAACAATTTTCGGCAGATAGGTTTTTGTTTATTAACAACCAAATCTCTGAAAAGATTCAGAAGAGATTCAAGTCAGACCCTAAGTTCAAACAAATACTCTTCCTTCAGTATCGGAATCAAAGAGTTTACTTGGTCGTCTTCTGAATTCACAAATTTACACGTGTTTTGCAGTTGCAACCGTTCAAGAACTAATAAGGGAACCAGCCCGTCTCTTTCCAGTCCACCACTGCTACCATTCTCTCGTCAAAATTGGCCACATAATATAATCAAGTTTTCTGATCAGTACCTACTACTACCAAGATGACCGTAAAAGGTGGCACCAGCCCTGCCTGCGCTGCATGCAAATATCAGAGGAGAAAGTGCTCATCAGACTGCGTTCTTGCTCCATATTTTCCTGCCAATCAACACAAGTCCTTTCAAAATGCGCATCGGCTCTTTGGGGTGTCCAAGATTGTGAAGATACTCGAGCAGTTAAGCACTCTTGAACAGCAGGAAGAAGCCATGAAATCTATTAAATACGAGTCAGATATGAGGGAAAGATACCCTGTTCACGGCTGTGCAGGGATCGTCCACCACCTTCGTGAACAATTACGATTAGCCACGGAAGAACTTCACTATGTTTATGCACAACTTGCTGCCTATCGCGAACAGATTCCCAATAATCAACAACAGTTGGGCTGTTCTTCTTCGGATTATTCTTCTTCTCATCAGCCTCAGTTACTCCACTCGGGCGGCATGATCAATAACAGTTGCAGCACCACTCAATCTATCGATGCTCTGCCGTTTTTCCAGCACCATTCTGCTGGCAGTATGCATGATTATGAAATGCCTTTTACGATGGATTATTTTCTGGCAAATGAAAATTATGCTGATGATGACGAGGGTGTTCGACACCGTGACTCCAATGATCATGTGGCTAAACCTTTACTTGGATCGGAGCCCGTCTATACCAATACGCCCCCCGACCCTTATTGTGATTTGATAAGAAATAACGTTAATTCAGTAGTAGGTAATCAACCTGAAGTTATTGCCAATTCAAATCAGGTTTTTGGGATTCAACCAGAGATCAAAGTTTTTGATCCGGACTATGAAGACATGCCGCCCTTCAATGCAGTGGTGGACGACAGACAATCATATGTTGAAACCAAGGAGGCCTGTGAATCCAGGTATATATATATACACACACACACTTGAATTCTTCTTGATTAGCACTTGACATCTCTCCTGTAAAATACTAGCTACTCATTTCCAAAAATTTCAATTTATGTCCAGCTCCGTGGAATCATCGTTCCGGGATTTTCCACAACCGGTAGAACAGGAATCAGAGATGGAGAGTGAGTTACGGACTGCTGCGGCCTGCTTTAGCCTTACCAGCGTCAACTAACTAAGACAGGGAGTAAACTTTTTTTTTTTTCTTCTAATTCATACTTCTCTTCTTTCGTCATTTCTTGAATTCTTTTGGAATTTCAATTTTGAGAATTTTTTTGCTTATAGATAAAAAGATTTTGAGTTTCAAATGTTCCATCAGTCAAACTGTGGATATTTGTATTGCCACATAACTAAACAGTCCAAATACAAGACATCCGATTTGATGCAGGAAAAATATTCCTTCACTGAAACACATTAATCCACAGGAAAACATTCCTGAGGTCGCATGTTTACCTAAAACTGTATACAAATGTTTTGGTTTGCCAACCATGTAAATAGATTAGAAGATTTAGAAGTCTACAAACAAGCTGAACAAACCTCTACTCAAAAGGACTGTAAGTACGACTCCATATGAGGATCACCACCCAACAATTCTCAAGTTAAAAAGTTTTTTAACAGTATCTGTGATCAAGGGAAAGAATTACAAGTCGTGTGTTTTCTTTTGTAACGCTGGGAATTATCATTGAGACCAAGGGCGGATTCAAGACCACAGAGTAAGTGGGGTCAAGTAAAACTTATTTTTTTGGCAGTACATTAAAACTTTTACAAAGCAAAAATTAAAATATAAAAGTAAAAATTACTAACATTACATACAAATTATAGTTGTATCATATGAGTATTCATCTTCTGAAAATGTTGCAAAATTAATTTATTATCAATTTGGATAAATAGATCTTTTCAATATAAGGAACTAAAGCTCTTGATTTTTTTTAAAAATATTTTACGAATTACTGTTAACTTTATCTTCTATAGATTTTTTTTTTTAAGAAATTGGTTTGAAGAATTGGTTTTTCACTCCACTCAATAAAGCCCATCCCTTATTTTTGATAATCTAGGAAGAATTATTCTTGAAATAACTTCCATAAATAACTTGAAATAAATTCAAAATTCTTGTGCTGGTAACATTTATGAATTTTCAATTGTTTAGAGAATTTGTTAAAATTTAGTGGGGTCAAATAAGATACAACTTTAAAATTTTCTAAATTTTTCAAGCCTAAAAACTAATTTCTAAAGCTCTTGATTTTTTTAAAAAAAATATTTTGTGAATTACTGTTAACTTGATCTTCTATGGATTTTTTTAAGAAATTTGTCTATAGCCTATCATAAATAAAAAATCATAATAACTTAATTTCGTATTATAGATAAAAAAAATTTACCATTCACTTGAAAAAATCTTGTTTTTGGAAACTTTAAAGTTTGAAAAAATTGGTTTGAAGAATTGGTTTTTCACTCCACTCAATAAAGCCCTTCCCTTATTTTTGGAAATCTAGGAAGAATTATTCTTGAAATAACTTCCATAAATAACTTGATATAAATTCAAAATTCTTATGATGGTAACAATTATGAATTTTCAATTGTTAAGGGATCCATTTTCAATTATTTAAAGAATTTGTTAAAATTTAGTGGGCCAAATAAAATACAATTTTAAAACTTTCTAAATTTTCCAAGCCTAAAAACCAATTTTTCCATAGTTAAGTGGGGTCAATTGACCCCACTTGCTTACATGTAGCCCTCCACTGATTGAGACATCTTCTTTTTCTTTTTTCTTCCCTTTTTTTTTTCCCCCAGCTCCTTACCAAAACATAATGCGAGGCAAGGAATCAAATTTTTTTACTTAATGATTAAGTAACATCTTAGAATTTACCCTGTAAATGACGTTAAATTTGGAATTTGAGATAGGTCAAGACTGAGAAGATCAATGGTTGTGCATTACATTACAAAAGTGATTAATTAAATGTATTGAACATTTATAATAAGGTTTGGTCAAAACTTGGGCCTTAGATGCAAATAATGCAAGTTTTGACTGTTAATTACTAGCCGGTTTAGTAACTTTCCGAGATTAGTTCGGCGTAAGGGATTTTCCAATTTTTTTTCCCCCTCTCTTCGCAAGGCTACTCTCTCAAAATGTTCATGCGATTGTCCAAATTCTAAACAGTCTTTCTTGCTTAAAAAGCTCTCAAAATCACTAAGAAATAAATAAAACCACAGGAGGGTTGTATGATTCTTTTGAAATTTTAGGAAGGTCGTATCAAATTCTACAAAATCATAGAGGATTATATGTAATTTATCCGATTTGTTATCACATCTTTCAATTACTTTTTTTATTTCAAATACATCATACATCACATCTTTCAAAAAAAAATATAACAATACATTTTTCTATAAAAATTTCCAAACAATTACAATCCAAACAATTCCCTTCTTAGCCAATTCGGCAAATGCCCATTCGCACATAAAAATAAGTATCCGAGTGTAATGGAATTGACCATTTTTTTCCCTCCTAATTCTGCAATCAGATCCAATATAGTATGCGGACGAAACGATTTTAGTACAGAAGACTTGTTGATACGCGACTTGTTTTCTAGTAATATGCTCAGATTCTAAGTCTAAGCACAAGTGGAAAATGGGTGCCATCTTGGCCCATATGAGACCGATTGTTGTGGTGGTGGTCCATGGTGAGCTGAATCTTCCACTTTGATTTTGCGGCAGACCAAGTGACATTTTTCCCAACGCAGAAATGTCTCTTTTTATGTCTGTCAGGATTCCCTCGATTGGAGTTGCGTGTCAGTGCCACTGTAGGAGCAGGAAAATCCTGCCTGGAAAACTGGAAAGATAGCTGATCTCTTTTTCACGGCTTGAAAAGTCTGTTTTCCACTTATGTAAAAATAGTTGCTGACAAAGTCCCTAGGAAGTGAATTCCTTCTGTTTGGGAGGACTGATTTTGTACTGAGTGTCGTGAGGGGTCTTTACTTCTTAGCAGCAGCGGCCTTACTGGCTTGCCCTTGTGGGGTTTGTCATCCCACATCGGTTCTGGGGGGGGTTTGGGTTTGGTTTATAAGTCCCTGGAAGGACCTCAAGAGTTGCCGGCTTTTGAGGTTTCTTCTGGGATTAGGTTTATAAAAGCCGAATTTCTAGACTTCAGTTTAGAAAAGGTCAAGAGGCAAATTCATGCAAGGGTAGTTTACTGAGTGTCGTGAGGGGTCTTTACTTCTTAGCAGCAGCGGCCTTACTGGCTTGCCCTTGTGGGGTTTGCCATCCCACATCGGTTCTGGGGGGGGGTTTGGGTTTGGTTTATAAGTCCCTGGAAGGACCTCAAGAGTTGCCGGCTTTTGAGGTTTCTTCTGGGATTAGGTTTATAAAAGCCGAATTTTTAGACTTCAGTTTAGAAAAGGTCAAGGGGGGGAGGACTGATTTTGTTCAGTACCAAATGGGGATCTTTTTTGTTTGTCCCAAAAAGATAAGAAAGAAAGACTCACTCGGGAGGCCTTTTGCTTCTCCCATTCATAATAAGGGATAATTTCAAAAACATCAGACGTCTGACAATTTTACTGAACTCTCTTGTAATTTGAAAAAGTACACTTACTTTTCTTGATTTGATAGTTTTAATAACAAAATCTGAAAATAATATTCAAAAATGCTCTTGTGTAATGAATTTTAGTTTATTTTCCTATATAATTATAAGATTATTTAGTATAATTATAAAGAAAATGTGTCAAATTTTTCATGTCCATATCTACTATAAACAACTATAATAATAATTTTCTTAGTGGGATTATCATAATTTAGTAGTGCTTTTGGTCTATTTCTTTTTGATTTATTATTAATTTTAATACCAAAAAATAGAAAACAAGGATCAGCAAAAATATTGGATAACATATAAAATTAAGTCGTCAAAAAAATTACTAGTCCGACATTTGATTATAATAGAAACTAGAGGCAATAGTGGTAGTTCTATAGTTTTATTAGCAAAAAAATTAAAAAAAAATAAGAATAAGAAGGAAAAATAATGAAAAAATAATTTTAAAATTCATTCTAAGTATAAGCATACCAAATAAGGAAATTTCATTAAACTATTTAAGAGTAAAATTGTTATTTTAAATAATAAGAGAGGTATGTGTAATTGTTCAAAAGCTTAGTGAAATTATGGGGGGAGGTTTCTAAAATTATCCCTCATAATAATGCATCCTTCTTCTTCTTCTTTTCCTTGTAAAGTGCTAAAGTAGATTTAGTTCTATGTCAGCACGGTAGCCTCGGAACTAGAAAACCCTGAAATTACTTGCATGAACACATGTAATTACTGAATGGTCGGATACCAATTTTAATTAAATTATGCACTCATTTCTTCATTCAAGAAAACATATATTACTCCATTTACTTATCCTTTCTTTTCTTTCTTTCTTTTTTTGCCCTTTTGTGAAAATTGTGGACTTTGCCCCATCAAAGAGGGCCACGTGATTTTGATCTTTATTATTAGATTTATTGAAGTAGCAGGACTTCTTTTTTCTTTTTTTTTTGTCAACACAGGGGTGTCCGGGTCAATTCTTACGGGGCCCAACTAATCCCCTGCGTCTCGGGCCCGACGCCCCAACCCGGCCCAAGCACGATATGTGCGCGAAAGAATCCAGCAGAGCAGATACTCGAACTCGGGACCTACGAGTCACCGATTGGAGGTGCTACCGCTGGATCATTCACGCGGAACTTAGTAGCAGACTTCAATTAAAGTAAAACTAGCCACATGTAGAAACACGAGACCAACCAGAGAAATGTCGCCATGCATGAAAATCTAAAAAGTCTTCTTTTTTATTTTTATTTTTTGTTCCTTCGAAAAAAGGAATCAGGAAAACCTGAAATTAAGGATATTTAGAATCCAAAAGTTGATCAAGAGGCTAGTACAATTCAAAAGATGAACTTGAAGAGTCCAACTGAACCGCCTGACAAGGTAATTTTGTACCTTTCGGCCAGATTTCACGGGCCACTGATAATCATGACTAACTACAAATGACTTTTATGAGAAGGGTTGCATACGGTCGACCGCTAGCGAGCAAATCGATTTAAAACTGGTTTCGAACACGATGTTGACTTTTATGAATAGGGTTGCATGCGGATTGAATCGCTAGCAAGCAAATCGATTTAAAATTGGTTTCAAACTCGATCAACATCGAGTTCGAGCTGATC